GGACACCCCTGGACTATATAGCACAGCAGGCCCTTCTTGTACTGTTTCCTGGAGTTTATCCAAACTCACATTCATTGCATCAACTGATCATATAGAGCAGGGGTGTCATAATCAAGGCCTACAAGCCGGAATCAGCCTATGGCATGCTTAAATCCAAGATGTGGGGCCGGCCTGGAAATATCAAGGGACCGGGCCTGCAGTGACTCTGACAGCTAAAACGGGATGCACGCACCCCTCTCACCGCCTTGTTTTCACCCTCCATGGCCTCCTGCTGCACTCCTGCTGCACTCTAAAACAGGCCGAAAAACGGGCCTAAAATGGCTGAAAAACGCAGGAGGGTAAAAACAAGGTTCAATGGGGCCGCGCATGGACCCCCCCCGTGCCTCCTTTTGGCCAACGGGGGGCTCCCGGGGGCCCTCGCCCCCCCCCCCCCCGCCCCCCCCCCCTCAGCCCGGCCCACAGAGAACTACAATGCTGATCCGGCCTTCAAAGAAATCCAGTTTGACACCCCTGAGATAGAGATAGCCCTCGACGTACAACAGTTCATTTAGTGACTGTTCAAAGTTACAATGGCACTGGAAAAAAAGTGACTTATGACCATTTTTCACACTTATGACCGTTGCAGCATCCCTCATGGTCGTGAGATCAAAATTCAGATACTTGGCCAGTGGCTCACACTTATAACTGTTGCAGTGTCCCAAGGTCATGCGATCCCCTTTTACAACCTTCTGAAAAGCAAAGTCCATGGGGGAATCCAGATCCACGTAACAACCATGTTACTAACTTAGCAAATGCAGTGATTCACTTAACAACGGTGGCAAGAAAAGTCATAAAATGGGACAAACTCCGTTAACAAGTGTTTCGCTTTTAGCAACATAAATTTTGGGCTCAGTTGTGTTTCGTAACTCGAAGACTACCTGTAATGCCTTATTTACTTAATTTTATAGCTTGCCTTTATTTATTTATTTTGTAAACAACTGAAGGCTGTAATCCTATCTAATGCTCCTTCCTCCTCCTATTTTTCCCACAACAACCCTGTGAGGTGAGTTGGGCTGAGGGAGAGTGACTGGTGACCCAGCTGGTTAAAGTGGGACGAGAACTTGGCAGAACTGGTAGTAAAAAAAACCTCTGACGATCAGCTGAGAGGAGAGGAGAGGTCCAATCCTGGCTCTGTCTGGTTGCCAGCTGACATCACTCTGCCTTCCTCCAACTAGGTGTAAGAATGTCCTTGGTTCCCAAGAGAAAATATTTTGTTTTGGCTACAGAATCCCAACTATCTCAACTCCCTGCTCCCTATCCCTCAGCTCCAGTGTGGCAACATTGAAGCTGTCAAAAATGGCTTCGGTCAGGTCACCTTCAAGGTTGACAGGCCTTCAGCTTGCTCCACAAGTCCCAAACCATTCTACCACACCGTATTCAGATGAACTTGAGCTAGGATTAAAAAACATTTCAGATGAAATACACGGACGCGTTTGCAATTCCAGAAACTCCCCTTTGAACAGTGAGATGCTGCAGTGTTTGAAGAGGTACAAACGTTCCATTTTAGCAAAGCAGCCTGAACTGATTGAAGTTTCAAGACAAACCCAGCTCTGCCGCTTCTTTCTTCTTCCATCGGTACCTTTTGATCCCCATCCTCAGGTCTTAGAACAGACAGGAAGATGCAAATAAGTCTTTACAAGATCAGAAGGCAGAGAGTGAAGGTTACCATGGAAATGTTCAAATAATAAGTCAGCAGTGAATGATGATGCTCAGGACTATTTGCCAACCAGCTCAGCGGGCTACAAAAATAGCATCTAGTAACTGAACGGGCTAGAC